CAAATAAGCTTAGAATGTTATTNAATTATGAATTACAAATAAGTTTGGCACTAGAGGGAGACATTAGGTACCATCTCGTATTTAATAATTATAATATTTAATTAATTAATTTAGAATAAACTGGATGAAAAGAATCGGCCTGAAGTGGGGCTTGAACCTGCAACTCCCGCTTACCTTGCAGACGCGTTGTCAGTTACGCAACCTAGTATTTAATATGAGATGGTGCTTAATGCCTCCTTCTAGTGCCAAATTTATTTGTAATTCATAATTAATATTTTCAAAATATAGCCTGATTATTTACGGCAATTATGGGTGTCTATTTGCTAAGCATCGGGTTTTGGTAGATGTTTATATTTGTAATTTTTTTGTTACACATAACAATAAAAATTGTTCTCTTTTTGTAATATGCTTCACACTTATTAAGAGCATTAAAACTGTTTCGTCTACATCAGTGTAAACACAGGTTCTAGCACATTTTCCTGTAGGTCTCACATCATTGGCTAATATCAAAATTGATTTGTGATTTGTTGTTATTTTTGAAAAACTACTCACAGGATTTTTCCAAACTTTGCTGCAATGTCTTTCTTTTTTGAGCCTTTATGAACTTCCTGCAATGTGTAATTTTTTTAGTAATGCTTAAACCACTTTATTAATAGTTCTTCAAATTCCAACTGGACAACTTATTAAATGAAATAAAATTTCTGTAATCCCAAAAATTTGTTCAGCAGTTATCAAAATGATCACTTTTCTAACATTTTTGACATTCCTTAATTGTAAATTGTTCATTTGTCAACGACAGCATTTGGACCTAATGCTCTCTTTCTTCTCTACAACCAGTACCCACATGGGTGGCAGATTACATGATGGTTTTAAAAGCTAACGACTAGTATTTCTCACACCTGATCCTCAGTTTTACAAAGGGTTTACAGATTTTTACCTGAAATTGAATCTAAATTTGAATGCAACCCAGATGGAATAATTGACTTTTAATGATAGATAATCATTACAAATGAAAAAAAAAATTGTTATATAGAAATTTAACTTCATTATTTAGAAGCAATTTTACATATATTTTTGGCTGAAAGAATAGTTTTGTATAATGCAAAAATTTGTTATATGGAGAAATTCACTTTATAGAAGTTTGTAATATGGAAGTTTGATTGTACTTAATTTTCTTATATTAATCGCTTTTACTTTCCTAGAGGTTGTTTATGTATGTGTAGTAAGGGATGGTATTGGAATCATGTCAAATTTGACCCTGTAAGATTTGCTCATTTCCACATTTTGAGATCCCTTGAATTAAAAAAAGTCAAAATAATTAAAAAGAACGGGTATATTTATACAATAGATTTTTCAGCTCTATATGGGCTAATAGTTTATTAAAGTTAGGTGACTAGACCTATACCTTTTGGCCAAAAATTATTGCAGGAAAAATATACTTAGTTATTGATTATGCTATCATTTATTTATTTTATTTTTAGATAATTTCTTTTATACAATCAATGAATGCCTTATTATTTTATATCTCAAGAAAATATTCTGGGGACTTGTCAGATGAATTATCCAATTTGGTTATTTTAACTGGGGAATAATTTGATATATACCATGTTTCTTGATCATCTGAATATAGCAATGAATATACCACATTACTAGATGACAGAAAAAATTATTCACTACTTTTTATTTTTTTTTTTTATTTTGCATTTTCTAAAAATTGTTCAAAAAGATATTATTTGATATTAAAAAATTTCTTAATTTGACAAGAAAAAAATTGTATCTTAATAGAAAATACAGGCTGCCCTTATTTTATGCTGGTAATGCATTCCTGGCAAGAAATATAAACAAAATCAGTGCAAGATAAATCCATTTTATAATAGAATGATGAGAGATATGTTTCAGGCATCCATGATAAATATATGTATAATTTTTCAATAAAAACATGTTTAATATCAAAATTTTACTAATACAAAACAATAATAATACAAAAATTATAGCTTAGGCCTACTTATTTATAGCCAAAATTGAAAATGCAATTTTTATACAACCACTGTATTGATCTCATATAGAATTACCACTGGATGCAACTTTAGTTTTGTGATGATGGCCTCAATTGAAGGTTAAGAAGAATTGATGGACTAGGCTGAGAATCATGCACTTTTGTACAGTATAAGTTCAAAGTGTTTGTCAGGCCTTTCTTTCTTGATAATTTCATGCTAAAGCTTAATTTAAACTTCTTAGAAAGTCACTTCATTCACAGTCAAGGTCCATTTTCCAACATGGGCATTTGGATTCAGTAATTTCCTTTTATTTGACAGCACTCTTTTTTTTTTCTATTTTCATAATTACACAATAACTTTACTTTAAAATGTTGAAATACTGCATGAACAATAAACACTTCAGAATTGCAAACAAACCAACACTGCTTAGAATCACTAGTAAAGCAAAGTAACTACAATGCTACCAACACTAGTAACTACTTTGGTTGAGCTGGTAGTTGAAGGTGTGAAAAAATATTTGCATTTAGCAGTTGCAAAAAATAGTCTACTCATTGTGGAAAAAATTTTTTGAGATATTTTTAAAGAAAATTTGAAATCAGTGTAAATCAAACCAGCATGAACAAGGGTGGCCTTCAGTTGAATTTTTTTTAGAGAATATCTATGAGGTGTGGCTATTAAATAATGGGATTGGTTACAAAAATGTAGTTTATTACAGTTGTACAACTTATAAATAAATAAACAATTAACTATAACCAGCATTAATTCTCTTATAAACGAACATTTATAAGAAAATTAATACAATTTAATTGTACAACTTAATTGCTATCTTCTTCAATGTGCTCCCCTCCTGTATATATACACCATTGTGCATGAATTTTCCATTTATGGAAGCAGTACTGTAGTCACCAGGTATTATGAAGCATTGCTGTTTTTTCTTTTACTTCATCCACTATCTAAAAATGGGTGCCTTTCAATCTGGATTTCAATTTTGGGAAAAGGTAAAAGTCATATGGAGCTAAGTCTGATAAGTAAGATGGATGGTCCAATACTAGAATCTTCTTATCAGTTAGATAATGCTTTACAGACAGTGTACTCTGGGATGGAACATTGTCTTGTTGGAGGATCCAAGCATTGTTCTTCTACAGATTGGGTCTGTTTTTCCTCACTCATTCTCTCAGTTTGGCCAGAATCTCAAGGTAATAATAATGTTGGTTAACTGTCTGATCCTCTGGTATCTATTCAATTATCATCATGCCATTGATATAAAAAAAGATCAACATTGCCTTCACTTTTGATTATCCATTCTTGCTTTTTTTATTCTTGCTGATGTGGGAGTTTTCTAATATCGATTGTCTTTGTTTCTTGATTGTACTGGAAAATTCACATTCATCACATGATGATCTCATGCAAATCTAGCTTTACTATCAGCCATTCTATGATGTCAGTGCAAATTTATTTATGGATGTCTTTCTGCTCCTGACTCAAGGTTTAGGTGACCAATTTGGCAAACTTTCTTCATGTTCAGTTGGTCAAGCAAAAATTTATTATACATTTTCTTTATTAAATTAACATGCACATGTCTGCTATCATCCAAATGCTCAATTGGCAATCATTGTGAACAATTTTATTCATTTTTGCAACATTTTATTTGGTTGCTACCATGACAGGATGATCCAGTCATTTGTTGTCTTTAATATTTTCTCCACTTTCATCAAAGCATTTATGTCTTTTAAACACACAATCACTGTACATCTTCTGCAACTATTTCAAACACTTGGTTGACAATTTCTTCAATTTTTGCAAGGAATTTGCGATTAATATTCTGCAGCAAATATTCTGCTTGAAAATTAGGAAAATCCTTTGTACAAAATTTCACAATTTTTAAGTGCAAACTTTGTTATTCGATGTATATAAATTCACTTTAATCCAAAAAATTTTTGGTTGATTTTCTCATAGCAACTTTGGTTAGATAATTTTTAAGACTTCATTGTATGAGTTTATCACAGATTATACATATGCATTTCAGGTTGTTGTAATTTCACAACCCTTCCTCAGTGATGTTTTTAGAGAGAAAATAACACAAAAAATATAAAAACATAAAAACTCCATTCAATATGTGAAATGAGAAAATGAAGTTTTTATGTTATTTTCTCTCTAATAACATCACTGAGGAAGGGTTGTGAAATTACAACAACCAGAAATGCATATATATAACCTGTGATAAATTTATAGAATAACATCTTAATTACCTAACCGAAGTTGCTGTGAGAAAATAAACCAAAAATTTTTTTGGATTAAAGTGAATTTATATACATCTAGAATATACAGCATCCATATTATGTAGGAGTTGTTACTTGATATATTTTTTCAAGCAAGCATGCGTGTTGTCTCAAATTTGCCCATAGATTTTAGAATATTGAAGTTTTCATTTTGTTTTGTGCCTTTTGTCAGGTTTACTTTAATGAAAACTGATAGTGCCATTTTTTTTCTTTCTTGTCCTAGCTTTCCTATCAACCAGGTGTCATTGTCATTGCTTTCAGACTTTAGCTTTTAAGACTATCACTATGTTTTTATTGGTTAATCTTCATATTTAGTAAAGTTTATTTAAATGTTTTTAGCCAAGTGTTATGAAACTTTTTTTAATCATTGGTAAGTAATCATTCATAAAAATGATGAATGAAATACAGAAGTATCTCGATACTCAAACTATTCCCATCTCAAATAAATTAGTATTTGAACACAAACTCTGGAAAAAAAATTGCTTGGTACTCGACTGAACAAACATGACTTGCCACACAAATTTTTAATTAATAACATATTTTAATTTATATTTTGTCATCCATAAAAAATTGTGATAAAAATCAAAAAATTAAGATGTTGCTGATTTTTCTGATCAATATCAACGAAAAAAGCTGAGATGACGAGGATACTTTGTAAAAATAAAATTAATATTAATGTGTAATACATTTAATTGTGATTGTTAGTTAATTATTGATTGGAAATAAATTATTAATTGCTTTAATAAACATATTTCTTTTAGCAATGAAAAACAATAGTATACTTTTGTTACCTTTTGGAACCTAACCCTATGTTTTTCACTAGTCCTTTGTTTCATATAGCATGGATTCACTATCGAGTTATACAAGAGATACCTATACAGGGTGCTTCAAAAAAATGTATACACACTTTGAACTATTGTAGTTTTCCCGCTCTACAAGGCTAATGTTATATTTCTTCGCCAGGTGGCAGCATAATCGTCCCTCTATGTTATATTATCAGTTGGAATTTGTAATATCAACATGGGGGACGTACGTTTGAGTTTTGAAGAACGTAAGCAGGTTATTAAGTGGTACTGGAAGTTTGAAAATGTAAATGAAGTTCAAAGACAGTGGAGAAGGGAGTATGATACAGAACCACCTTCAAGATTAACAATTACACGCATACGAGACAAATTCGAAGTTCATGGAACAGTGTGTGATGTGCATAAAGGTCATTCAGGTCGGCCTCGAACAGCTACAAGTGATGAGTCATCAACGGCAGTCTTGGAACTGTTTCAACGCTCTCCTAACAAATCTTCAAGGCAAGGGGCATGTGAAAGTGATGTAAGTGCTAGCAGCGTGCTACGCATTCTGAAGAGAGGCAAGTATCGTGTTTACATTCCAAGGCTGGTGCAACAGCTAAATGACGACGATCCAGATCGAAGGTTGCAATTTTGTGAATGGATTCAGGAGATGGTGATACGTAAACCGGGATTTATGGGTAGCATCATTTGGTCGGATGAAGCCCAATTCAAACTTAATGGAACTGTCAATAGGCACAATTGTGTTTACTGGTGTGAAGAAAATCCTCACATTACAATTGAAAAAGCTGTAAATTTGCCTGGTGTAAATGTGTGGTGCGGTTTGTCTTCAAGGGGACTCATTGGACCTTTTCGATTTGAAGGCACTGTAACTGGTATTAATTACCTAACAATGCTTGCTGATTCCATATTTCCTGCCATTCGTGCATTATACGATAATGATGATTTTTATTTTCAACAAGATGGTGCTCCGCCGCACTATCACAGGGACGTACGAGCTTACCTGGATCAAAATTTGCCGGGCCAGTGGATAGGACGCAGGGGGCCAATCGAGTTTCCACCACGCTCTCCAGACCTTACACCACTGGATTTCTTCTTGTGGGGCACAGTAAAAGATGAGGTGTACAAACGTAAACCACGTAACCTAGACATTCTTTGGAATGAGATTCAAGCAGTGTGTAGAGAAATCTCATTGGACGTTTTGATACGATGTACAGAATCTGTGGTGACTCGTACTCAGAATTGTATTGATGCTGCAGGTCACCAATTTGAACAGTATTAACATTTGTTATTTATGTTTCATTTACATTGGACTTTCAGCTTTCTATTTTCCTGAAATTTAACTTTGTAGAACGGTAAATAAATTTTCTATGGAAGTTCAAAGTGTGTATACATTTTTTTGAAGCACCCTGTATATANTGCTACATATTTAATAAATTAAATTGTTGAATTTTGTATTTAAAATAAATGAATTATGACAAAATACAAAAACACTTAAAAATATTATTAAATATAAAATAAATTTTTTTTCATTTAAATAAAAAACTAAAGTCAGAGTCGACACATTTTTTCCGACTCCAACTCCTCTGGCAGAAATTTCTTCAGACTTTGACTCCACAGCCCTGATTTAATCTGTATCTTTCTGCCAAAATAGGGTACTATTAGGAAAATTCAATATAATGTTTGTTTTAAATAGGTCTTGCTTTATGGTGATAAAGCAAGTTTATTATACATTGTTGATGATGAGTTTAAATTAGAAATGATGGATTTATTTTATTTTTTAAAAATAAAGAAAAAATTTATTTTAGAAACTTGTTACAGTCATTGAGAATAATGCAGTTGTGTTTTATAAAATTATAATTTTGTTAAATTTTATCGATTTCAATTTTTTACTGTTCAATATTTGTATTTTTTCACAAAAAAAATTACATATGCCATGAAATTTGCTAAAATTATTGAGTAATTAGGTTTGTTTTAAAAATTATTAATAAAGCCAGTTTATAATTTGCCCCATAACTTAATCTATATCCCTCTTTCAAACATAGATAATCTGTGGGTTATCTACCCAAAACTATAGTAATAAGATTAAGTGGTGTTTTTTCTGATTTTTCTGATGTCTCACTGTTTACCTATCAAAATAGAAAATAATTAATTCATAAAATGAATTATCTTTTATATTGATGTGATGATTGATTATATTTACAAAAAAACTTTGTTTTTTATTTTGTTTAATTTATTAATTTATTTCTTATAGAAATGATTTTTGTATAATTTGCCTCAGAGTGAATAGAGTCACAAATGGATAAAAGTGTATGCATTAGTTAGTTAGTGACTGTATTCACTAAAGCAGATTTTCCCTTTGTCAGCATGCTACTGACAAAGGGAACCCAGCAGTTTGTAATCATCGATTTTGATGAAATTTTGTGATGTGTTGTATTTACTTATACTTAAACTCTACTAAAGCTCAGGACCCACTATTTAGACATTCTGAAAAAAATTATGACAAGGTTTTCTACAGTTATTAATACCAATATGGAAGAGTGATTCATGAAATTATGACATAGTGTGATTAGTTACGACATCACATGTGGACATATTGTTTTTGGGTTTGATTCTTGTATGCAAAGTTTTAATTTACATTTACAAGGGTTGTGCTGCATAGTGCCAAAATTACCGCTTGGTGATATTTTTATTAAAGTGGCAATAAAAATATAATACTGGTGATAGCAATGGTGATAAAAATACTAGTCCTCTTATTTTGACATTCAACGTTAAATTGAATCACAAATTACACTTCAGGAAAAAACAGTAAAATGTCAAACTTCCGTACAATGGGAATCCCATGCACCATACACCTAGCGATTTCATGATATCATGCAGCACGTTTAGGCAGAAAAATAGGAAATGGTGTTGAGGATTGCACAAAAACTGAAGGCAGTTTTCATGCAATGCTGCTCAATGTTTCTAGATTGGGGATTTATTATCGACTGAGAAATTTTGGGGTGGCCTTTTTTTGCTTTGATCTTTTTTCAGTAAACGAAAACAAAAATTTTGACATGATAGAAGCTGTGAAACACTGTTTAAACACTGTGATTAAATGTGTTACTTGGAATTATTCATTAAAAAATTATTCAAAAATGATTCCTATTGCCAACAAGGGAAGAGCCAGATGTTCGAGTCTTTGATTAGAATGAATTATGGTGAGTGTGTAGCCTTAAACACAAACAGCTCCTTGTCCAAATAATAGGACCCACATTTCAAGTGTTTACAAAAATTGTGCCTCTAAAAATTGAGTGTTTACGTCATAAGTTTTTGAAAGTTTCATGTCTCTGAGCAGTGATAAATAAGATGCTAGAGTACTGCAACTAGACGATAAAGTTTGAACTATTTGAATTTTAGTTTAGTTTTGCTTTTTTTTTTTATGTGTAACATTATTATTTTATTATTTTACCACAGCTTTGGTATTATTATTCCTAAGCATATAAAACAAGTGATTAAAAATTGTGATGTCATTTCCTGTTTAGTGAAAACAAGCCTCTTTAGATTTAATTTTTTTACATCATTAAATAAAACTTTTGTTTCTTTACATTTATTTTCATGTATTTTACATACTATGTTCCACAAGCAAATAAGCTTAGAATGTTATTGCACATGGATGAAAAGGACAATCTGATATGAAAATAGGGTAACATAGGCCCAGCATTTTATTTTTTGAATTTTTAATATTATAGATAATTTCCTCATACGCTCATGTTTGTTACACTTCAAATATCACAATACCACCACATGAAAATAAATACAAAGAAAATTTTAGAAATAATAACAATAATGAGCAATTATTTATTGTGGCATTGTCACAATGCCAGGCTGCAATTTTTAATCATATATTTTTTATTTATTTAAATTCAAATATATGCTCTCAACTGCAAATTACTGTCTTGCTGTCTTACTGTCTCAACTGCATGACTACTGTCTTGCTCCTGTACAACATACTTTTTCTGTTAGCAAGGGAGTTGTGCCAATCATTTTTCTAACTCCTTTCAGGGAAAATTTTTTGAATTGAAATAACTTGACTTCCGGTTTGCATTGAAAGTTCATATATAATTAATCGGAGTCTATCTTCCACAACCTTTCCAGATTGGTCTCGGCTTTCCTGTGACTAAGTCAGTTTTTGAGATTAAGGGAGGACAGACAGATAACAGTAGGAATTTATAAGTCTAAAATTTTTGAAAATTGTGTGAGGCTCTGGTCAAGTTTGAACCCTCACTGAAATTTACATTAGAATAATTTTTTAAAGAAAAGAAATAGAAGCTAGAAATAAGTTTTTTATATGAAAACATGATTCAAACTTATAAACAATAGAAGAATATAAGTCATAAGATTGACCATCTCCAGTTGAGGGATCAAATTAAACATCAATTTTGACTTCTGAGATCTAAGCTGATATCTCATTACACTTAGTAATGATTGATCCACCTCTTAGAAAGTGAGAACAAGGAAAAGCGACCAATTGGAATGGGTGATTGAGGATAGAAATTAATAAAAACTGGAAATTCAAAGACGCGATAGCTTCTTTTCCCAAAAGTTTCAAGTATCAGACTAATTGTGTGTGACTTTCCCAGAAACTCTTAAAACTGTGTATTGCACCATCTGTTATGATATTTCATTATTAAAAGCTTTTATATTCTTAATTATTATAAAATGGCAAAAAGCTTAATTTTGAGGATAGCAATGAGTTTTATAAAAAATTGTAAATGCTAATAATGAGTAAAAACATTATTAAGTCTGACCCTATTTGAGATATGACATACAACCCCACTTTATTTCCCCACCCTGTTGACCTTAAACCACAAAAATTTAACAGCATCAATCCCCTTAATACACAAACCGCCTTGCAAAATTTTAGAAATTTTTGACAAAAAGCACAGGAGTTATTAAGCTTCAAACAGGATGAACAAAATTGTTTCCCCACACACACTAACATCCATACGTACAGAAAAACCCTCAAGTTTTCTTGCATTTCTCGACATTTCAAGGCCCCGAGTCCAAAAATGTAAAATTCTTGGGGGTCATTTTTTTAACTGGTCACCATACTTTCCCTCTGTCTTATATAGCAGAGCCAGGAAAGTGAAAGGTGCAAAAAAATGTAGCTTATATGTTATGTAAACATCAAATAAACACAAATGGAGTTTCTGATTTCTCCCCAAACCATCAAAAGTGAAGTGCTTCACTTTAAAATCTTAGCTTTAATAATAAGATCAATTATAAATGTAAAAAAATACCTTTGCATATGGTGATTAAACCCAAAAACAAAATCTCCATATGCGATGCCTTAACTAATTGTGCTATGCTTTTTGTGAATCACTCTTCTGTATTGGTAGTAATAATTGAAGAAAATCTTTTTATCTTAATTTTCTTGAGAATGGCTAAGTAATGGGTCCTGTGGCTTTGGTAAGTAGGCTATAATAAATAAAACACATCCACAAAATTTCACCAAAATTAGTGATTATAAACTACCATGTTTTCCTAGTGAGTTGTCTCAAAAATTGTCATAAAGATTTGGATTATTAGTAAAAAATACTATAACAATTATATCTTTAGGTAAATTTGAATGGTATTAAGTATAAATTAGTTAATAGATACATTTTTTTATTTAAAAAATATAACTGAATTAAAATTAAAATATATAATTTATTAATACAGTAATTATGATTTTTAATGGAGTCAAATGTAGGAAATTCTATTGTGTACATTTCTGATATGTAGCTATTATTTTTTAATGTTTATTAAATGATTATTTGGATTTTTAATAGATTTATAGTTTTAGTGTTAAACATTGAAAATATTTTATGAATGTTTTACAGTCGTAATTACGTTTATTGTGAATTCATCTGCTATTTGATAAAATATTCAGAAAATTTGTAATTTTTTAAATAATAATAATTTTCAATAAAATATTTATATTTAAAAATTTTTAAATTTAATATTATTCTCAATTGTAAAATTGAAAACTTCTGAGAAATTTGTATATTATTGAATATTGTAAATACCAAATAACCATTATGATCTGATAGGAATGTTTTATTTTTGTTACAGATATAATTAATCCAAAATCTCTGCCTGGATCCAAGGATTCTTCAAAAAGTTTCAATTATGATTATTCCTATTGGTCACATGATGTAAGCATTAAATATATTTTTAATTTGGAGAAAGAATTAATTTCAAATTTTAAAATATATGTTGTAAATTTTTTAGCCTAGAGATTATAATTTTGCATCACAAGAAGTTGTTTACAATGATATTGGAGAAGAAATGTTGCTACATNTTGTAATTTCACAACCCTTCCTCAGTGATGTTTTTAGAGAGAAAATAACACAAAAAATATAAAAACATAAAAACTCCATTCAATATGTGAAATGAGAAAATGAGGTTTTTATGTTATTTTCTCTCTAATAACATCACTGAGGAAGGGTTGTGAAATTACAACAACCAGAAATGCATATATATAACCTGTGATAAATTTATAGAATAACATCTTAATTACCTAACCGAAGTTGCTGTGAGAAAATAAACCAAAAATTTTTTTGGATTAAAGTGAATTTATATACATCTAGAATATACAGCATCCATATTATGTAGGAGTTGTTACTTGATATATTTTTTCAAGCAAGCATGCGTGTTGTCTCAAATTTGCCCATAGATTTTAGAATATTGAAGTTTTCATTTTGTTTTGTGCCTTTTGTCAGGTTTACTTTAATGAAAACTGATAGTGCCATTTTTTTTCTTTCTTGTCCTAGCTTTCCTATCAACCAGGTGTCATTGTCATTGCTTTCAGACTTTAGCTTTTAAGACTATCACTATGTTTTTATTGGTTAATCTTCATATTTAGTAAAGTTTATTTAAATGTTTTTAGCCAAGTGTTATGAAACTTTTTTTAATCATTGGTAAATAATCATTCATAAAAATGATGAATGAAATACAGAAGTATCTCGATACTCAAACTATTCCCATCTCAAATAAATTAGTATTTGAACACAAACTCTGGAAAAAAAATTGCTTGGTACTCGACTGAACAAACATGACTTGCCACACAAATTTTTAATTAATAACATATTTTAATTTATATTTTGTCATCCATAAAAAATTGTGATAAAAATCAAAAAATTAAGATGTTGCTGATTTTTCTGATCAATATCAACGAAAAAAGCTGAGATGACGAGGATACTTTGTAAAAATAAAATTAATATTAATGTGTAATACATTTAATTGTGATTGTTAGTTAATTATTGATTGGAAATAAATTATTAATTGCTTTAATAAACATATTTCTTTTAGCAATGAAAAACAATAGTATACTTTTGTTACCTTTTGGAACCTAACCCTATGTTTTTCACTAGTCCTTTGTTTCATATAGCATGGATTCACTATCGAGTTATACAAGAGATACCTATACAGGGTGCTTCAAAAAAATGTATACACACTTTGAACTATTGTAGTTTTCCCGCTCTACAAGGCTAATGTTATATTTCTTCGCCAGGTGGCAGCATAATCGTCCCTCTATGTTATATTATCAGTTGGAATTTGTAATATCAACATGGGGGACGTACGTTTGAGTTTTGAAGAACGTAAGCAGGTTATTAAGTGGTACTGGAAGTTTGAAAATGTAAATGAAGTTCAAAGACAGTGGAGAAGGGAGTATGATACAGAACCACCTTCAAGATTAACAATTACACGCATACGAGACAAATTCGAAGTTCATGGAACAGTGTGTGATGTGCATAAAGGTCATTCAGGTCGGCCTCGAACAGCTACAAGTGATGAGTCATCAACGGCAGTCTTGGAACTGTTTCAACGCTCTCCTAACAAATCTTCAAGGCAAGGGGCATGTGAAAGTGATGTAAGTGCTAGCAGCGTGCTACGCATTCTGAAGAGAGGCAAGTATCGTGTTTACATTCCAAGGCTGGTGCAACAGCTAAATGACGACGATCCAGATCGAAGGTTGCAATTTTGTGAATGGATTCAGGAGATGGTGATACGTAAACCGGGATTTATGGGTAGCATCATTTGGTCGGATGAAGCCCAATTCAAACTTAATGGAACTGTCAATAGGCACAATTGTGTTTACTGGTGTGAAGAAAATCCTCACATTACAATTGAAAAAGCTGTAAATTTGCCTGGTGTAAATGTGTGGTGCGGTTTGTCTTCAAGGGGACTCATTGGACCTTTTCGATTTGAAGGCACTGTAACTGGTATTAATTACCTAACAATGCTTGCTGATTCCATATTTCCTGCCATTCGTGCATTATACGATAATGATGATTTTTATTTTCAACAAGATGGTGCTCCGCCGCACTATCACAGGGACGTACGAGCTTACCTGGATCAAAATTTGCCGGGCCAGTGGATAGGACGCAGGGGGCCAATCGAGTTTCCACCACGCTCTCCAGACCTTACACCACTGGATTTCTTCTTGTGGGGCACAGTAAAAGATGAGGTGTACAAACGTAAACCACGTAACCTAGACATTCTTTGGAATGAGATTCAAGCAGTGTGTAGAGAAATCTCATTGGACGTTTTGATACGATGTACAGAATCTGTGGTGACTCGTACTCAGAATTGTATTGATGCTGCAGGTCACCAATTTGAACAGTATTAACATTTGTTATTTATGTTTCATTTACATTGGACTTTCAGCTTTCTATTTTCCTGAAATTTAACTTTGTAGAACGGTAAATAAATTTTCTATGGAAGTTCAAAGTGTGTATACATTTTTTTGAAGCACCCTGTATATA